CAGGGGACAGGGAAACATTTTAATGAAAATTAGATGTTCAACTCTCATTGTTAGTATGCTAATACCATAAAACTAAGTGTAGCAAAATTTTTGACAATTTCAGCAGATGATTAAAACTGCTAGAGATTGCATCTGACTAGTTAAATTTCATGGTTACAGTTTTAAGTTAAAATGAATACTGCCCCCCAAAAACTCACTGCCATCCAGTTGATTCCGACTCATAGTGATCCTCTTTGGGTTTTCGAGGCAGTCAATCTTTATGGAAGTAGATCACCCAGTCTTCCTTCTGAGGAGTGGCTGATAGGTTTGAACTGCCAAGCTTCTAGTTAGTAGTCAAATGCCTTAGGCACTATGCCACCAGAGCTCCTTAAAACACTCTTTAGCAAATGATTTAAAAATGACCTATTTTCAGAATTGAAAGATAAATCAACCTCTATTCCTCTAGAATAGTATGTATGTTTTGATACTGTTTTCCATATGAAACTCAGTCATAAGATAGAAGTTATTTTTTTGTAATCTGGCATTTCTTTTAATGGCATCTACACATATGCCCACACTTATACATATGACTACAAAAAACAGGACTAGCTGGTCAGTCATATGGACTGGTCAGTTTTTATCCTGTTGTATGCAGGGTTGCTATGAGTCAGAGTGGACTCAGTGGCACCGAACCACCACCACCACCACCACCACCACCAGTCATATAGAAATCCCAGTCAAGGTTTAAAATTTTGCCACGATGATGCTCAAATAGTAAGATGGTGTATTTAAGAGATAATTTTTTTTCTTGCCTATGAAACAGTTTTAAAGTAAAGTCAAAACACCAAAGACCAAACTCACTGCCTTCGATTTTGACTCATAGCGACCCCTCCTTGGGTTTCTGAGGCGGTATCTCTATGGAAGTAGATTGCCCAATCTTCCCTCTGAGGAGTGGCTGGTGAGTTTGAACTGCCAGCCTTCTGGTTAGCAGTCAAATGCTTTAGGCACTATGCCACCAGAGCTCCCAAATTAAAGTTAGCACCTATCTTTGATGGTGCAAGATTTGATGGTATAAGATTGTTTTTTAATTATGCCAGTAGGTTTTCAGATGATATATGACACTAAAAAAGCAAAAATTCAGAGAATCACACACTGGTCTCTTCTATATTACCTAAGTTAAAATAAACCTTTCCAAAATTCAAAAGCAAGTAAATGATGTAAATTTTAGTTTTTTGAGAAATATTTGCAATCACTGATCAACATTTCAGTTTAGTTTTATGCTTAGTAAACACAGATCTTCCAAATTGCATTAAAATTTTAACATATGTTTTCTCCAAAATTCCAAAAACTCTACCCTTTCAAATCTCACCTAATGATTCAAAGAGAATAAAGTTTCTGAACCATTGGCTATCCCAAGTCATCAATGGTACACATTATGCACCTAGAAGATACAGACTGAAATTTAATTATCTTGAGTTAAATAGGAGAATCTCTGAAAGACTTTACATTGTTATACATCACTGAGTCAATTCCAACTGAGTGACCCTATAGGACTGAGAAAACTGTTACACAGGGTTTCCTAGGCTATAATCTTTATGGGACCATATTGCCCGGTCTTTACTCCCACAGAACAGCTGGAGGGTTCTAACAGCCAACCTTTTGATTAGCAGCAGTGCTTAATCCCTGTGCCACCAGGGCTCAATATGCTTATAGTAAGGGAGTTCAAGTTTCCACATAAATTGGAGCAAAATAAAGGATAGTGCCTAAGGGATCTGACTGCCAACCAGAAGGCTGGCGGTTCAAACCCACCAGCCACTCCTCGGAAGGAAGACTGGGCAATCTACTTACACAGAGATACCGTCTCAGAAACCCAAGGAGGGGTCACTATGAGTCAGAACTGACTGGATGGCAATAAGTTTGTTTGTTTGTTTTTTGACTGAAAACAGAACACTAATGCAAACAATACAATAAAAACAAGTAAAACCTCTGAGGGGGGAAAAAAAAAGCAAAATTTTAATTTTGCTCACACAAATACCGACCAAAGGCCTTGAATTTCAAGTTCTAAGACCTGACACCCACCTCTTCTTCTAAGTACCTGGATAAGTGTTCTCTAACATCTGGAAATAAAAGGTAAACGTCATTTTTTTTCACTATGTATCTATGTAAACTATTTATCTCCTTTGAAATGCTAGATATATTTTAAAGTCATAAACTTTATGTATATAAAGAATGAACTCTTAGCTTTACTAGACTTCATATACTTAAGTCTCACTAAAGACCTAAATGAAATGAAAACTTTTTATTTAAAACAGTGATTAAAATAATAAAGACAAATAAAAAATAAATAGCCTTGGTAAATAAATGGTTAAGGTATATCTGAGCCTCTCAAAAGAGGTAAGAGAAGTCCAGAAAGTCAACATTTTTTTGTCTTATGGACCAATCTAATTAAAGTTCTGTTAATCTTCATATGCTGATTAGACTTCCTTACCACAACCCCAAAAGAAGCATCCTTCCCTGTGTTTACCAAAGGATCATAACGATTACTGATTAAGAGGAACTAAAAAAAAGTTTCTATTGTCACAGAAATTTTATATAACAAGAATAGCTATTTTTCATTCTTGGACAAACCTATGTCTTACTATAAGGTAATAAACAACACTGTAGCACCAACAGTATTCTTGCTCACTGCCATCGAGTGGATCTGACTCATAGTGATCCTTCCTTGGGTTTTGGAGGCGGTATCACTACGAAAGGAGATTGCTCAATCTTCCTTCTGAGGCGTAGCTGGTGGGTTTGAACCTCCAGCCTTCTGGTTAGCAGTCAAAGCCTTAGGCACTATGCTACCACAGGATAGTCCATTTAAAATATGCTTCACTTAAAGTACATTTACAATATGAAATCCAAGATCTCAGCAGTCTTGAAAAGAAACACTATCAACTTTGTTAAATATTAATTAGAAAGGACACATGTAATGAAAGCAATACTTAGTGTGTATATATATATTTATACATACACATACATCTCCTCTTAAAACAATTTGTGGCAGCCAAAGTTTGCTGTGGAGTAAAATGAAAAATGAGATAAGTATCTTACAATATAATGTAAACAATCTATACAGTTCCCACACAAAAAAGTATTTTAATCACTGGATAAATGTTAGGAATTTGCCAATTTTTCACTTCTCTTAAATTTAGCTAAATTTTGATAAGCAATCTCTAAGTAATATTTTAATTCTATAAGATCTGATGCACAAAAGCACACCCAAAAAAAGTTTAAAGGAGGAAAAATGGTTTTAGTCAGACTGTTAAGATACATCAAAAAAGCCTGTCTTCTGAGAGCAAATGTAGCAAATGATTTTTTTTTTTGGGAAAAAAAAAAAAAAAAAAAACAAATTTGAATTGCTGGGGAATAGCATATTAAACAAACCCTATGCGATATACACATAATTACAAGTAAATAAAAATTATGGTAGAACTTTAGATATTGTTATATATTTAGCTCAGTTTTCCAAAGAACAAGTACATGCTTTCCCTCTAGAAATTGAAGATGCACTATTGCACAAAGATATCACGGGAGAAATGTGCATTCTAGGAGTTGGAAGGCAGGAGTTAAATCACATCATTCAAATTCTCTGAAACCTAATTCCATTAAGTCAAAGTTAAGCAGGGCTTTAGCTTTCCATGGTCATCACATGCATACATATTTAAATATAGGCACAGATACTTGTCACTTTTATTTGGGTAACAAAGAGTCTCCAAATTATACTGAAAAATAAATTCTAATTAATATCACTCCTGTAAAAAAAAAAATTAGCACACTTTCACAAATGATTTATGTAAAAGAAAATACGCATAATTTTATCTTACTTTTTTATTCCCTACCATAGACATTAATTTTGTCTTTCATTTTTCTACAATTTTCAACATGTACCTGTATTTAATACTGCTTCAAATTTGTTAAAGACATTAACTGACTGCTTTTCTAAATCTAAGGATTATATAGTTTTAGTATAAATATATATCACATATTTTCTTAAAATTTTGACAAAACCAAATAAGCATGCCTTATTTTAAGTCCATGCTCCTTCCACTGCTTATAAAATTTGATTCAAAGATCAAAAATTTTTTGTTGTCATTCTTCAATTAAAGTCTTCCTCCTTAACTGCCACGTCTTTACATAATAATAGAAAAATCAAAGGAATTCTCTTAATCTTATTTCTTTTGTTTTGAACACTATAAAATAATGTGACCTTTCTTCTATATGAAACAAATACATCCAAAACACAATACATTCAAATGAGCTGAGTCTCCTTTAAGGTAGTCACTATGGAGAGCCACAGTTCATTCTTTTAACTATGCTGCCACTGCTCAAAGCACCTTTCAAACTCTTGGAATTGCCTTCAAAGCCAGCCACTTTTGCCTCAAAGAGAATTAATTTTTGGAAATTGTGAAAGTCATTTGGTGCCAAATAATGGTGATCAAGGGCATCAAGCTTGGTAGTATTTTTTTTTTTTTTTTAAACAAAACAATGTGTATTCATAAAGTTAATAGTATGTTTGATTTAAAATTAGCTCTGAATGCAATTCTAAAAGAGCAAAACCAGAAATAGGTTTCGGGCAATGGTCGACTGCTGTATTAGGAAATACCTTTCCAGCACGATCACTATGCAGAATAACATTCATTAGCTGTCTTTGTTCTAAAATATTTGTTTATAGTGAATATTCCGATAGTTAGAACTTATTCCTTTAAAAAGGAATACCATTCTTAAAAAATATTTATTCCTTTAAAGCATCACTGTCAAAGCCAGAACTATGCAAGTGTTTTGTTAGAAACTAGTTCACCTTACTCTGTCAATAAAGACTCCTTTTAAATACCTGAAAGCAAATAACCAACTTATTTGCCCTCAGGTGTTTTTTTTTTTAATCATTAACAGAAGATAAAATAACTTGAAATCTCTAAGGTACTAAAAAAACAAAACAAAAACCCCAATGTAATAAAAACACATCAAGAACCAAACTACAATTTCTGAGCTGCACTGTTTATTTTGCTGCTTGAAACCTAAGTGACATTATGCCACTATAATTACGGGGTTTCATCTAAACCTTTACTACACTGCAGGTACAGAAATATATGGACACATTTTTTGGAGAATTGACATTTTGCAAAATGCAGCAAACATTTTAATTTATACATGAGAAAAGGAAGTGTTCAAAAGGGTATGCATTTCAAGTTATTGCAGGTTATTTGTGAGAGAATTTCTGCAGGTAAAACATGTTTAAATTTAACCAACAGTAGCATGTCAGTGTATTTAAAATCATGACAAAAATCTTCTCTCTGGTCATGTTGCCCATGACAAATTACTATTGTTGTACGTTTAGGGCAAGATGTCAATACAGCATAAATCCCATGGCATTTTGGTTTTCTTCTGGAGATTAAAGCTGTTTTTCTTGGGATAAATGCAGCAGCAAAACACAAACCAGTTGATCAAAAAAGCACTTCTGCCATTAACTCCAATAATTTTCAGGACACATCAACCGACAGTAGTTTTGCCATTCCCAGTTTTTTTAAGGATTACATCTCTGCACTGTTGCCTTAAGTACGTCTGTATAAGCTTGTTCTCTGTTAAGCCAGTTTACTGACTACAGCCTGGTTGAGAGAATTTAGTTGGTTGGTCCATTTATCTAGTGCAGTATATCGTGCACCACCCCTCTTCTGATGATCCAATTCAAGGAGTTGGTTGACTTGATCAATTCGGCCATGAATAGTGCTGGAAGTAAATAAAACAAGATATGTCCACAAATCATTTTCACTCAGTGTATCTTCTGGATTAATGTTTCATAAAATATTCATTACTAATTCACAAAATGTCAATAAACGCAAAAGAAAAACTACCTACATTAAATGAATGAGTTCAGCACTAGTTATAACATTATTTATTTAAACTCTAAGCAAAAACCAGATTTCTACTTTGATCAGTTTTACTGAAACCACCAACAGCCAGACACTTAACCAGCTATCAAGAGCAAATGCTGTTTTTGAAGATTTCAGAAATAATGTATGGCTTTTAAGAAAGATAATTTCAAAATTGTTATGTACCACATATACTTAAAAACATAAAGAAATGTTATCCATTAAATAATTCTTTAGCTGTTATTATGGATCATATACTGAAGGAGAAATCCTTCTGATTATTTAAGCTTTTTTTTTCACTGTTTCATATGTCTACTCATTTATATCAAAAATCATCACATACATATACATATACACAATAAGAAATCATAGCTAGAGGGCGATTTACATGAAAAATCAAGAATTCAAGTGCTACCTTCATCACTGTTATAAAATATAGTCCCAGACATTTGTGACAAAAAAGATGGCAAAGTACTTACTTATCCAATATGCACTGCACCAGCAAGCTCTCCACATCAGCTACATCTATGTTTAACTCCTAAGATAAAAGACTCATTATAAATCTACTAATTAACATTTTAAAAGACTTAATGATTTGATATAATTATTCTGACTTTAAGTTCACTTCTATCACTTAAAGAAAAATTAGTAAAGAGATTTTAAATGTATTTCACTACAAAATATCTCTGAGAACCCAGGTCTGATAAAGACTTAACTTTGTTAACATCTGAAGTTTATTCTTCCCTTCTCACAATTTTGTGCTTGAGGTTAACCCTTCATAAATTATGTACGTTAGCTACTACTGTCTTTTCTACAATTCTCTCTTAAGCTTTAGGAATTTTGAAAAAAAGAAATTTAATGATTCTCAATTTCTCTATCTTGCAGTGTTAAAAGCTCTTTTCTGTTAATTTATGCCCTAAAAACAAAGACAAACTCACATGAAAATTAAAGTCTTTTAAGTTATGCTTAATTAAAAAAAATTATTATAAAATGTTACCAAGTTAGAATTACTCTGAAATGAAAGGCAGATATATTGCATTTACAACTATACATTTTAAACATCATTAAAATTCATGAATATAAGTACCTTAGAAATAAAAGGAATATGTATTCTTGTGTAAGGCTTAATTAATTTTATAAGCACTTGTGTTCTGATGTTTCGCAAAAGCTCTGAAAGATAAAAGAACATATTTGCATTTTAACAGTTTATACAATATTTTTATGAGTCATTATGCACTCCTACATCATAATCATTAACCACTTTATTGTCTCAAAATATATCCTTCTTATTGGCAAGGACATAATGTGTTTAGATCTAAAATATTTGGATCCAACAGATGTACAGTATGATCAGAGGTTGTCTTGCCCATCATTTTTTCTTGTTTCCACCTCCCTGATTTTGCTTATGCTGTGATTCTACCTAATATATCCTCTTGTCTTCTCAGTGATAGCACACTATCATTTCCTCAATGGTTAACATCTTTTAAGGAGCTCTGGTTTATGCTAGCTGAGTTTCTTCTTCTATGTCCCCTCAAAACCTAGAGTATCATATTTTATCCAATGTGTTTACAATTGCCCCCCAGTTTCATTATGTAGAATTTTTTTTTCCTTAATTAGATTGAGTTCATGGATAAGGCTTCTCTACTTTTTTCAAAATGTAGTACCATTCTAGGTACATATAAGAAACTTAGGTCTTTTGAGTGAAGGAGAAAGATGGGGAACAATAGGATATTATTTGTAAGTCTTCTTTGGATTTTCTTGATGTATCTGGAATTTAAGTATTTGAAAAAGTTGTTCCAAACAGTCATTAAAAAACCCTCAAAAAACTCAATAGGTGGGAGCACTGCAGCTGAAAGAGCAGCACTACACTAAAAGGGATGATTTCCCTCTTCAGTACAGTGTTCTAAGGCAAATAACACATACATACATTTTGTTTGCAAACCACCCAACTCCCTTGGCATTAGTTTCCTATGCACACTATATGCACGGGCATGCAATTTATATGGTCACTCTATTTACAGCGGCATATTATATGTGAGAAATATGGTTATCCAACAGAGCTCTATTAAAAATCTCATTCACTTACTGGCACGAAATCTTCTCAATGTTAGCTTACTTTTCACACAAATCCATATCAGCACCTTAGGGCAGTATATCTTCTCAAAATTTTCATTACTCGTCAAAAATAAACTCTAAAAACAACTTTGAATTTAAGTATCGATAATAAATGTGTAACAATATCTAAATTAGAATAAAATGGTAAAAGGGACAACTGCCTTAAACAAAATAGATATCTTACATGAACTTGATTATATTAATATTGTGAAATTAGTAATGTTATCTTTAAAACACTTTCATAATTTTAAGAAGTACCCTACTAAATAATATTATTTAGAAACATGCTGTTTCTAAATACTCTGCAATAAACAAAAGGAAAACAGATTAATTTCATGGTGCTCCATTTAGGAGTACTGTTTGACTATGACAAAGAAAGTATCAGAATTCATTTAGCAGAAACAACATACCTTCAATGTGTTCTCTTATGAAAGGATCATCCATGATGTTGCTGTGATTTGTTTTCAGAATCTTCTCAAATTCAGTGATGTCATTATTCTGATAGGCACTATTAGAAGAAGAAAAGTAGGAATTTACTCAAATGTGGAGAAATCATACTATATCAGATAATCCAAAGATCCTATTTCTCAATTTTTATATGCAAATATCTACATTATATTATAGTTTCTCTAATCTACGAGGAAAGTTGTCGTGGAAATCAGAGTTACACACACACACACACACACACACATACATCCTTCTGCAAATACAATAAATTTCCTTTTTAATGCTTTTGGTTTTTTTTTTTTTAAAAGAAACAAGATTAAATAAATCATGTAAATCTTCTTTTGAAGTTATATACCATATTTATAATTGCTAATTAAAATAATCTCAAAATCTTGGTTGCATTAAGAGCTGATAACACTTTAACAACTATATAATGTTTGATATTTTCAAATTAAATTGTGCATTTAATCCCCAATTTTTCTTAATGAAAGAAACCAGATTCACACATGTCACTGTATAGATGAATTTGGCCTTATTTTTCTAATAAGAGAGCTTATTATCTCTGAAGAGAATTCAGAAATGCAGCTTCCTAATTTTTATCTTCTAGAAAGCTACCAGCAATTCCCAAAACTTTTAAGTGAATTATTTGATTCTCACAAGACTTTAGCTCTAAAATTCCACTGAGCTATACAATGGAAAATTCAGTGGCAGAAAATTAGTGCCATATGAGGCACACACGAGAGAGAGAGAGATGGAATCTCCTATTGCAGAAGGCCAAAGGCTGATTTATGTTCACAATTCTCTGAAGTGTCTAATACCTACTTTGAAATAAATTATGTAACACATTATGGGGACTGCTAAAGGTGCTGAGAAGGAAGGAGCCAACCTTCTGGATATGGCACCACTGTCTGCTTTATATGTAAGACATATCATCAGCCACTCTGCACGCCCTCTGCTGTGCTTCATCTGTTGGGTCGCAATGTAACTTCATGTTAGGGGCAGGAGATTCAAGTGCTTCAACAGGAATAACTTTCCTCTAGTCTGCTGGCAACTGACTAGGAAGATAAAATTAGGAAGCATTACTTTCTTACCTAGCTCAAATACATTACTGAAATTTACTAGATGAGGATATATTCAAGTTGTGACAACATTTGCACATACATATATTTTAACTAAGAGACAGTCTTCCACTATTTAAGTGGTTCTTTTTCTTTTTTTTAAATCTTACACAAAATTGTGGGACCCCCATAGACTCACTTGTTTCGGCCAAAACTTAGTACTAAAATAAGTTTCTGAGTTATAGTATAGAGGTTTCACTGGAGTAAAATTTAAGATACAATAAATAGATAAATATAGCTATTACTTGTAAAGTTTTGATAATCAGTCCTTTAATCCATTTTAATGTATTTGACCAATTTAATTTAGATTAAAATATTAATGTCTAGGGTGAAATTTTTCCTCAAGATTCAAGAAATATTGCTTAGCAATTTAACTTTATAAACAATTTTTAAAAAAACATTATGAAGTTAATTTCTAACTAAATATTTTTTAATGTGATCTAATGTAGATGGAATAAACTGAAATGAAATGGAGAAGTCTTGTTTAATAACTAAAATAAATTTAATATAAATTAAAATAGACTAAAGAAATAAATGATACATAAGAAATTGATTTGTTATTATGACAAGATTTTACCCCTTAATGATTCACGTTCCTCCTAAAATTGACTAACTCCTATTTTTCTAGTTAAAATGAAGGTCTCCTGTCTGAAAAAGAAATAAGGGAAGCAACAGCATTTACAATAGCTAGCAAAAAGGTAAAATATCTAGGAATAAATCTTACCAGACACACAAAAGACCTATAAACTATAAAGCACTGCTACAAGAAACTACAAAGGATCTACATAAATGGAAGACCTGCCTTGTTCATAGATAGGAAGAGTGAGTATTGTAAAAATGTCAGTACTATCCAAAGCAATCTACACATTTAATGCAGTCCCAATCTAGATACCAAAAAAATTTTTAAGGATATGGAAAAACTAATTACTGACTTCATATGGAAAGGGAAGAGAAGCAGAGCACTACTGAAGAAGAACACATTGGGAGGTCTCACACTTCCAGATCTCAAAACCGACTATATAGCCACAGTAGTCAAAACAGCGTGGTATTGGTAAAATGGCAGACAGATAGAACAATGCAACTGAATTGAAAACCCAGAAATAGACCCATCCATCTATGGACAGCTGATCTTTGACAAAGGTCCAAAACCCATTAAATGGGAAAGAGATAGCCTCTTTAAGAAATGGTGCCAGCAAAATTGGATACCCACTTGCAGAAAAATGAAACAAGACCCATACCTCACTCTATAAACAGAAATGAAACTCAAGTTGGATCAAAGACTTACATGTAAAATCCAAAATTAAAAGTTCATTAAAGCTCTAATTTACAGCATAAATAGACTATCAAGCATAACCCAGAATGCACAGGAGGTGGAAGAGAAACTAGATGACTGGGAGCTTTTGAAAACTAAATCTTATGCACATCGAAAGACTTCATCAGAAGGGTAAAAAGAGAACCTACAGATTGGGAGAAAATATTTGCCTATGACATATCTGACAAAGGACTTATCTCTAAAATCTACAGAAAATTTCAACACCTCAACACCAAATAGACAAACAATCCAATTCAAAAATGGGCAAGGGACATCAACAGACAACACCTCATTAAAGACGATATGCTGGCGGCCAACAAACACATGAGGAATTGCTCATGATCATTAACCATTAGAAAGATGCAAATCAAAACAATGATGAGGTATCATCTCACCCTAGCAATAATAGCAAAGTTCAACAGAACAGAAAATAATAAATGCTGCCGAGGCTGTGAAGAGATTGGAACTCTCATACGCTGCTGGTGGGAGTGCATAAAATGGTACAACTATTGTGGCAGATAATCTGGCGTTTCCTTAAAAAACTGAAAATAGAAATACCATTTGATCCAGCAATTTCATTACTAGGAATATATCCTAAAGAGGTGAGAGTTGACATGAACAGACATATATGCACACCCATGTTCATCACAGCACAATTCACTATAGCAAAGAAAGGGAAACAACCTAAATGCCCATCAACAGATGAATGGATAAGCAAACTATGGTACATTCACACAATGGAACACTATGCTACATTAAAGAACAATGAAGAATACGTGAATCATCTCATAACGTGAATGAGCCTGTAGGACATTATGCTGAGTGAAGTAAGTCAATCGCAGAAGGGCAAATATTGTATGAGTCCATTACTGTAAAAAGTCAAGGAAGGGTTTGCTTAGGGAAGGGAACTCATTTTGTAGATTACTGGGGATGGGAGGGAAAGGGAAGGGAAAATTTTGGATTAGTTGGGGGCCACACTCTGAGATGGGTAAGAAAGGGATGGTATGGAAAGAGTGTGTGACCAGCATGTAACACTGGGGAAAGTCGCTGAATTGTGCAAATAAGATAGATGACAGAGGCTAATACCAGTATATCCACAAAACAGCATTACTATTAACACCAAACACCAGGCTACAGATAAACACATAGACAACTGAGAAGATCAGATAGAGGTCAGTGAACAGGAATATACTCTAGACCAATGATAGATTCACTGAGGCTAATCTTGCACAGACACCAGTGATATGAAATACCCGTAATCATTACAGAAGCAACAGAAGACAGACATAGAGCAATCCCTCACAGCCAGGCACTGTGGGGGAGAGATCCACTGGATCTACCGACTCAGGACCATAATACTGGGGGACACCAGACTCAAATGGCACAACAAAATACATAAAAGTGTTGTTCTTCAACCTACTTTGTGAGTAGCGACTGGGATCTTAAAAGCTTTCAAGTGGTCATCTAAGATGCAGCTAATGGTTTCCTATCCATCGGAAGTGAAGAAAAGTGAAGAAAACCATGGACAGTTGGAAACAATCAGCCCTAGGACATGATGGACCTCGAGACCAGAAGAACTAGATAGTCCCTGGCTACCAATGCCAACCACTCAGGAAGGGATCAAAACCGAAGATCCAGGATAGAGTGGGAGGAAAAACATGGAACAAAATCCAAAAACACAATAATGACCAGAATTACTGGTTGGATGGACTCTGGTGGGACCCCTAAGACTATGCCCTGGGATATACTTCAGGCCTGGGACAAAACTCTCTTCCAAGGGCTGGCTCTCAGCCCAACAGTAAATAAGACTTACATGCAGAGCAATCAGCCATGGAGCACCATAGGGGCAACATTCACACAGAGGAAAAGCTAGACAGATAGGAGTGCATTAACTAAGAAGGGCGTGCACGTGCGGGGTGTGTGTGTGTGTGTGTGTGTTATTGGGAAGGGAGAGGAGCAGAGTGGGTTAGGGTTGGGGGATGGTAATTGGGGCGTGAAACCAAATGTACACAAAATGTTGAATGTAAAACAAATTCTGCTCTGTAAATATGCATCTGAAGCACAATTAAATATAGATGAATAAAATTAAGGTCTGCTTTTTTTAAAAAAAAGTCTAATAACAAACTCTCTGGAGTAAACCTTTTTTTAAATGATATTTTCATCTTGTCATTAAGAAAACAGAAGTAAATAAAGAAGTTTATTTATGCAATGATCTTGTTTTATAGAAAATTCTTGGCTTATATGGACCAATTCATAATTTCATTTTGAATTAATAAAGGTAAGAGGCTTAAGTAAGGGAGCTCTGGTAGTGTAGTGCCTAAGGCACTTGACTGCTAACCAGAAGGCTGGTGGCTCAAACCCACCAGCCACTCCTCGGAAGGAAGGTTGGGCAATCTGCTCCCGTAGTAATGATACTGCCTCGGAAACCCAAGGAGGGGTTGCTATGAGTCAGGTCCGACCAGACGGCACATAAACAACAATAAGAGGCAGTAAACGTTGTGAAATAAGGCTTTAAAACATCTGTGCATTCGTGGATAAAAAGAACACAAAAGTGAAAAGAAAAAGGACAGTTTAATCAAATCTTGTGAATAACAAAAATAGCAAATAAGTGATTTCAGAAGATAATAATTTCACAAACTTTAGAATATTTCAAAGCAACATATAAAAGAGCAAAGGTTGAGTATTATCTGAATTTTGAAAAATGCTTTCTCTTTATGAACTGCTAAAAGGAAATTTACCTTAGTGAAATATAGAATCTTACCTTACTAAATTTGTCATTGCTAGAATTTCTGGATCATTTTTGTACGGCTTGGCCTAAATATAGTAAAAAGAAAATTAACTGTGTATATACAAAGAAAAAATAAAATTTACTTCTACAAAAGAAAGCTAAGAGAAATCAACAATTAAAGTGCACAAATACCTCCTGTGAGTCAAATGGATTTATTCCCGATTTCATTAGCATATTTGCCAAGACCAAGTATTTTAAGCAAGTGGTTCGTCTGGGACTCCCCGATTCGTCGTAATTCTTGAAGGCTTCAAAAAAGTCAGTGTGTGCCTTTTCAAACTCACCTTCTCGCAAGTGCATTTTACCACCACATTCTGTGAAGAATAAAACATGAGAAAAGAGAACATTTTCACTTCTGTAATTGTAACAAGATCAATCACTTTACAAAGATTAAATGAAAATCATTTCAGTGGCTTTCAGTCTTTTAATTCTATAACCTGAATACTACTGGTCCCAGGGTACACACTTTAATTGGGGAAAAAATAAAAATCAAGCTCTTTATTAAAAGTCAATGAAGAAACTACTGAAAAAGCATTTACAAATCTTTAACCTCAGGTGAAATAAAAAGTAATTTTCTACATACTATAGAAGTTCTGGTAGCATAGTGCCTAAGGCACTTGACTGCTAACCAGAAGGCTGGCACTTTAAATCCACCAGCCACTCCTCAGGAGGAAGACTAAGCAATCTACTTCTGTACAGATACCACCTCCGAAACCCAAAGAGGGGTCACTACGAATCACAATTGACTCAAAGGCAGTGAATTTTTTTTTTTGTTGTTGTTGAATTTACTGCAATTCAAGAATAGAAGCTTTGATAAAGTGAACTTTCTATTATTAATATCTTCATTGATATATATATATATATATATATATATATTTAAGAGCTTGTTTTACATTCAATGTTATGTGTACATTTAGTTTCATTCCCCATTTGCCATGTCCAACCCTAACCCAGTCTCCTCCCCTCCCTACCCTGTAACCCTCCACCTGTGCCCCTCATATTTATGCACTCCTGTTTGTTCTGCATTTCCTCAGTTTGAATGTTGGTCCTCTGGTGTTCCATGGTCTAAGGGGATGTATTACCATAGAGTATGTGGGTGCGTCATCCTGAGTGGTCTGTGTGTATATCTTGTTAACTATTGGGCTGAGAGCCCACCCCAGGGGTGAGTTTTATTCCAGGCACAGGGCCATAGTATTAGGAGTCTCACAAGATTTCATCTGACCAGTAATTCTGGTCATTATTGAGTTTTTGGATTTTGTTCCATGTTTTCCCTCCCACTCTATCCAGAATCTCCAGATTTGATCCTTTCCTGAGTGGCTGGCATTGGTAGCCAGACATCATCTAGTTCTGGTCTCGAGGGTCATTGTGTCCTATGGTTGATTGCTTCTAAATGCTCTTGTTCTTTTTTGTTTTGGGCGTTCTCCTTTACTTCTGATGCTAGGAGCCCATCAGCTGCATCTTAGATGCCCACTTGGAAGCTTTTAAGATCCCAGTTGTTACTCACCAATGTAGGATGTGGAGCAATGCTTTTATGTATTTTGTTGTGCCAATTGAGTCTAGTGTCCCCTAGTACTATAGTCCTGAGACAGTAGATCTACTGGATCTCTCTCCCATAGTGTCTGGTTGTTTGTGAGGGATTGCTCTGTGTCTGTCTTCTATTGTTTCTGTGATGTTAATTTTATAAGGCAAAGGCATTTTATAAGGCACTTTAAAACCTTATCACTTATTTTTCAAGAATCATTCAGTTATATGCAATGACACCTTGATATCTTCCCATTTCACTACCCACCCTCCGTCTCCAAACCAAACTTACCTCTGATTACTCCCATGATCAGTGGATGAGGGATGGCAGACTTGATGTGAAGTGACTGTTCATAGAGTGCTTTAAGTTTTTTATTATTTTTCTGTGCTGTATACATTTGAATTTCCAAAGCGTATATTTCTAATAACTGTGTACCTTTTTTCAGGTCATCTTCTCCATCATCAGTCTAGGAAAGCAATCAGCTAACTTTAGTCAAGATAAAATTTAGAAACAACCTTGTTTAATAATAAACAAGCACAAAGGCTAACAGCAATTTACAAATTATTCCAAATAGTTCATTTAAAGTCAGGTGAATGGAAATTAAAAGTTTTTTCCATTGAAAAAATATTCTAAATTGGCCAACAAAACTTAACCCACAATGTAAATGAGAGATATTATAACAAGTAATTTTCATTTGAGTAAGCCTAACAACTTTACATTTATAATACTATTTCTGAGTGAAAATATACTACAAATTTTAAATAGGACCTAAAATACTACAAACATCAGTTTAATGGCCACAAAGGAAGCCACATATCCTTTTTATGTTCTAGTTATTGGATAATGACAAAGAAAACAGAGGTTGTTTTGTATGTATAAAATGCTGTTAACATTTATGTCTTAATCAAGGTATTATTTATGATATTCTCCAGATTTTCAAAACATTTCAGATCTACTTATTCAATCTTCTAAAAAGCATTTCCTGTTGTCATCCATGTGCTAGGCTACTTTGGGGAAAATAAAATTTAAATAGCCAAGGTTCCTGGACTCAAAAGTTCACACTGTAGTAAAGGATTAATTTGTCAACAGATAAAACACAATACAAAATATTAATTATTGTAGGTGAAGTATGAAGCAAGTGTCTAGGAGCACAGAAGAGAAAGGAACTAACTCTTAGGGAATGTCAAAAGAACTGTAGAAGTGGAAATATCAGAGCTCAGCTTTGAAAGATGACCAATGGTGCAGAAAACACAGGCCATGAAAAATAGCATATGGCCAACAATTAGATATCTGTAAATATCAAACATCACATAAACCAAGTAAAAACTTACTGTTATTTGTAGTGTTTCAACTTAAAACTGTTTTAATTACTTACTAATGAGTCACAATCAGAGTACATTATATGATATGGAAGGCAAATTTTACACCCAGATTATCATCCATTTCTGCTTGAACACAATTACATCAAAATACTAAGTATTACAATATTATTTATAATCAGATAGCATTTTCCTTATGTTCTTAAATAAACCAAGCAAAACTTCTCCATAGAGCTTTTTCATATTCCTTATGTTCACAGTGAAAGGCACTTCTCCATTCAAAATAGGCCTCTATTCATTAGAATAGAATATTCTATTAATTTCACATGGAACTGAACTCAAAGTTGTTTATGAGTGAGACTAAACTTTTGCAAGAATGGGTAGTTAAGAAACAATTTATAAGTGATTGACATGCTTTAAAAGGCAAAAGCATTACATGAAAATATTTGCAGGTAATTAGTTTAGAATGATTTCCTGATCAACTTTTTTTCCATTCATTGAAATCACACACACATACACACAAAATTATTAAATTAATAGTACATTGTTTTGGCAGAGCTTTGAAATATTTAACAGTATTTCTAATGAAATTTTAACTATTACCAAATAATTTACTTGATCAAGACAAGAGTAAATACAAAATTACAGTTAAAAATTTAGAGCTGTGCTGTCCAATCCATGTGGCTATACAAATTTAAATTAGTTAAATAAAATTTAAAACTCAGTGCCTCAATCACGCTAGTCACATTGTAAGTGCTTGATAGCCATACAAAGATGCAGAACAGTTCTACTGGACAATGTTGCTCCAGAGGACCAATATATCACAAATTAGGACATAACACAACTTTATTATATGAGTAAAATATCATTTTAGATATTCATAGGACATATAACTTAACATGCAAGGATTAGTCTCCACTGGCCTGCTCATTTATTGATAGCTGCTTATTCCATAAATGATAAGGATTGAAATTAGGATTAAAACAGGAAGAAATGTAGTAGTACTCAGAAAAAAAACTGCACTTTTAATAACTTATTATCCAAATACTATTTTTGGGATGATGCTTGAGTAGAAACAACCCTAAGCAATATTTCAAATATAAATATCTCCTATGCTTCTTTATTACAAAAAACAAAGTATTAAAGACAAATAAGGGAATGTTACCTGGCAGGATTGATGTAACTGGCGTAAAATTTTTTGAAGCTTTCCATATTCCTCTCGTTCTAAATATAATTTTCCAAGCTGTAAGAAAGCAAACTTATTAAAATCAGAAGATTTTGAAAGGAGAAGGTGTGCATCTTTAGGAGAGTTTAGTTTATTAGGGCTCCCCCTTTCATTCCTCCAAAGAAAAAAATGTAAGTAACTGTAATTGTTACCTTTGTGTTTGTCTTAAACCACAGTCTATCATTCTTAGCATCTTTCAAAGCTTCCAGTGTTGTTTCATAGAATTCCTGCAGTAAATCCATCTGACATAAAAAATCAGAATTCTATAATTGTAAACAGCAAATTTGTACCTGTTAATAAAGTTAATTTGAGCAAACTAAAAGTGCATCTTTGAACTTTAATACGTAAGATACACTATCTGTATCTTACTGAATGTCTTCTATAGTCCACAAAATTAACAAAACTTAACTATGATACATACCAAATTTATAAAAAGAGAAGCGCCAAGATCTGTTTTTATGTGAACTTTTAAAATAAACCCAGAAAAAATTTTGCCATATAAATTTTAGTGCCAGAAGTTCTAATGCTCTAATTACATAGGTTTCTCCTTTGCAACCTAACAGCTTGTTTTATATTAACAGAAGAAAACGATGTATGAATAGAGACACTCGTACTGTGTTTGGTTTTTTTAAGAACAACTTTTTATTGTGATTTGGGTGCAAGTTTACAGAGCAATTTTGTTTTCCATTCAACATGTCATACACATTTTGTTTCATAACACTGATTATAATCCCCACAATTTAACAACTCTCTTCCCACTTCCTCCCTATAATACGTACCTTCTCCCTATGTCCTTTCCTATGCATTCCTGCCCTCTGAAAGCTATCCCTACGCAAATGCTGCCCTTCTGATCTCCCATGGTTGACTGTTCTAAGGATTGCATCTCCCCGATCTAACTGTTCATCTCACAGGACTATTATTTGGCTGAGTGTTAAGCTATAGGAGTGAGCTCAATTACAGGCACAAAGGGTGACTAGGGGTCATAGTCTTCAGGATTTCACCAATTTCTGTTCACGAGTAATCCTGGTCATTTTTATGATTTTGAGTTTGTTCCACATTTTTCTCCCAGTCTACCTAGGACCTCTAATTTTGATCCCTTCTGAGTAGCTGGCAGTGGTAGCCAGGCACCATCTAGTTCTGGTCTCAGGGTCGTGTAGGCTAAGGTTCCCATGGTCCACTAATCTCTTGGACTAATGTATTGTGTTATTAATAGGGTTTATCTTACTCATTCAATCTTTATTTGGTATCTACTATATGGCAAACACTAAGTAAGCCACTAAAGAAACAAAGGGGAATTAGCTCATTTCCTCAAAATTCTTCCATAAATGTGACTAATCAATTAACTAGACTATATAGCTTTTAAATTACTGGTAGAGTGTTTAAGTTTGGTGAAAGGAAGAAACATGGTACAATTTTAGCTGTGTCTAACCACTATTAAAAAAGCTCTGGTGGTGTAGTGGTTAAGGCATAAAGCATTTATTTAGCTGATAGCCAAATGCTTAGTGGTTCGAACCCACCAACCACTCTGTAAAGATTTACAGCCTTGGAAACCCAATGGGGATTGCCATGAGTTGGAATCGACTCAGTGGCAATGAGTTTGGTTTTTGGTGAACCACTATCAATTTGCCAAGCTGAATGACATTTAAGGAAATCACTGCCTGTTTTTCATTTTAAGAGCCTACTCTCAGACTCCCCCTTGATCTCTGGCTCTAGTGTTGCTTGAGTATCTTATTCTACAGATTTCTACTTAACAAGGGCAAGGCATAAGAGGGTCATGAGAGCAGGAAAGTTTGCTACCTTGAGGAAAGGCTACCAATTTAGTCATGACTGCTGATGGCATACTGAAAAAGTCCAGTGACATTCACCTAACATTTATTCTTACTTTCAAACGGCAAAAAGCTTACACAATATAACCTGCAGAAACATGCAATCTTTAACTTTTAAAGTAATTTATTCTTCCCCCTACCAAACCTCTGGCATACTGTAATATTTATAAATAGTGTACCAAAAATGTTTTGATGACTGACACTTGTTTTTAAAACTCAGAAAATATTTTCCACATTAAAAAGTCTCCGTGACATATAGCTCCAGAATCAGTGTCACTAGGTGTTATGCAAATATTATGTTCTAACAGAATATGTAAATTTATCTTCTCTAGTTATCTTCTCTGTTTATCTTCTCATGACATACGTTTTATATATAAAGAATAATAAGCTGCCACAATAAATAAAAATAACATCTACTAGAAAAGAAAGAGGATGAAAGAGGCTAATTATGAGATCAACATTTTTATTAATGAGTATAAAAAGTTATCAAATGTTCTACAGAATATGACATGATATAGAATATTTACACTCAGATATCACAGAGCAAGAAAGTTGAAATTAGGACTATGTTGCTTCAAATATAAACAATCCAATTAAAAATTATCTCAACAAAAATTTAAACATAAAATAATCATTGCTTTTCCATATAACCAAAATCTAGAAGAATGAAAGCATTATTACTCCAGTGCCAATTTTAGTTTCCTTCATTATCAGTCCCACATTCTATCAAGCATCCATTTACCTATTCATTCTTTTTAGAAGCATTTATTGAGCACCTAATGAGAAAGGCCAAGTGCTAAGTGCTCAGTAGACTCTGAGCCTCAAGGATCTTAATTTGATCAAATTTACACACAAATAACATGTGATTGAAACTGTTAAGTATTTAACAGCTCAGGATGGATAGCTGGAATTGTAACAGTAACTGTACGGGAGTCTAATCTTATAGATTACACTGTAAAAGTTGTTTGCAGATTATTAGGATATCTGAAGAAATTATTTAAAAAGATTACACCAGTTATTACTTTTAAATGTAACATAGTTAGTACTAAAATTGATTTTTTTTAAGCATTAACTACCATAACTGCTTATATAGAACCTCTAGTCCTTTTGTTTTTCAAAGCCCTTAAGTAAAAGTAATAAACACATTGATAAGTACCAAAAGGGAAAAATGAGTCTAACCTGTTTAGAAGTGGAGATATAATCAAGAATAGAATTAATGGATTTTTCAGAATAATTTCTTGTGACTGCACTCCGAATATAGGTCAATAGTTGTTTATATCTGTTCATCATTTCTGGAAAGTTTGTCTGGAAGGGAAAAAAAGACCATGCTTTAACAAATGTATTGTTAGATATATTTATGTACTAAAGTATGTACACGAGTGCTATTATGGTATATTGTCATGCATCCTGTGAATGTTCATTTGGATGACAATGGACTGCATGTATGTTTGTGGTCCCAACCTCTGTAAAGCCTCTTACAGTAAAAATCTGAGGTACATACAATAGCTCAAGATAACAAATGGGTACTAACTTGTGACCTGCATCAAAACATTACTGTTATGTTAAAGATGTAAGATATTTTAGTGTATCTGAGTTATTTAAAAAAAATTTTTTTATGCATAGGAAGTACTATATATATCATTTTCTTAGAAAACATTCGACTAAGAAACATCAGATATGAACTGTATCTAACCGTTCTGACTTATGTACAAATTTGACTTAGGAACAAAACTTGTTTATAATCTGGGGCCTGTCTGCATATGATACAGTGTTTGCAGAATGTCCAAATCACATATAATGTTCTATTTCGGAGAACATATAGTGGATGTTAAATGTAGCATGACTATATTGCTACATAATTAAAAAAAAAAAGTTTTACAACTGAAGAAAGTATGGAAGGAACACTGTAAAAATTTTATGTTAAATTTGAAATGACTACATTACTCAGACATATGAACCCATTTGATGAAGTGAATCTATGAAAAAAGTACAACTTAAAGATTTTCAAATTTCTGATACTCTCATTACACATTTAAATCATAAAATTTACTAAAGTATTACCAGACCAAAATATATAAAATTAAAAACCAAGGAACAGGTATCAACACAAACTCCAATTTTTTAAATGCCTTGAATACCAGCTGGGCAGATATTTATGTAGTCCCTGAAGATTTACTCCTTTTATCCAGGAAGCTCTCCAGCATCTTTTCTCCAATAACACGGCTGCTCTACATAAACATTTGAAGTAGAAGAATCTCTTTAAGCCCACATATTCATTCCACTTTCAAGAAAAGGCCTCCTGGCTAAGGTACTACTCAATGTTGCTGTTAGGTGCTATCTAGTTGGTTCCAACTCACAGTGACCCTATTTATGACAGAATGAAAATACTGTCCAGTCCTGTGCCATACATACTCACAAACGTTGCTAGCTTTGAGTCCATTGTTGTAGCAACTGTGTCAATAGATCTCATTGAGGATTTTCATTTTTCGCTGACCTTCCACTTTTCTAAGCTTGATGTCCTTCTCCAGGGACTGATCCCTCCTGATAACATGTCCAAAGTACGTGAAATGACATCTCACCATCATCACACATTTAAGAAGCATTCTGGCTATACTTCTTCTAAGACAAATTTGTTTGTTCTTCTGGCAGTCCATGGTATATTCAATATTCTTCACCAATACAACAGTAATTTAAATTCATAAATTCTTCGGTCTTCCTTATTCATTATCCAGCTTTCTGCATAAACATGAGGTAACTGAAAATACCATGGCTTGGGTCAGGTGCACCTTAGTCCTTAAAGTGACATCTTTGTTTCTGAATACTTTAAAGAGATTTTTTTTATGGCAGAGCTGCCCAATGTAATACACTGTTTGATGTCCTGACTGCTGTGTCCATGGATGTTGATTATGGATCCAAGTAAAATGAAATCCTTGACAACTTCAATATTGTCTTCATTTATCATGATGCTACTTATTGGTTTGATTGTGAGGCTTTGTTTTCTTAATGTTAAAAGTGAAATCCATACTGAAGGCTATAGTCTCGTCTCTGACTTATATCAGTCGGTAAGTGCTTCAAGTCTTCTTTGCTCTCAGCATGCAAGGTTGTGTTATCTGCATATCGCAGATTGTTAATGAGTCTTCCTCCGATCCAACACCATATTCTTCAAATAGTCCAGCTTCTTGGATTATTTACTCAGTATACATATTAAGTAAGTATGGTGAAATGATGCAATAGTGATACACTCCTTTCATGACTTTAAACCATGCAGTATCCCCTTGTTCTGTTCAAATTACTGCCTCTTGGTCTATGTACAGGTTCCTCATGAGCACAATTAAGTGTTCTAGAACTCTTATTCTTTGCAATGTTACCTATAATTTGTTATGATCCATACAACTGAATGATTTTGCATAGTGTGGCGCAGTGTATTACTTAATATGGCACTTCTAGCCATGGTCTTTTTGACTCTCACCAGATGACTGAGTGGAACTATGCAAATGTAAGGTTATCTGTGGCCCATCAAGGGGACTGGATAGCTTGCTAATAATGTAAATAAAGTACATGGCACCCTTGTAGGGGTGGGACCGTGTATGGAACTGTAACATGAGGAATGGCAAGCTAGACTTAAAATGAGCAAGGGAGCTCTGGTAGCATAGTGGCTAAAGCACTTGACTGCTAACCAGAAGGCTGGCGGTTCAAACCCACCAGCCACTCCTCGGAAGGAAGGTTGGGCAATCCTACTTCCGTAGTGATACTGCCTCGGAAACCCAAGGAGGGGTCGCTATGAGTTGGGGCCGACTCGACGGCACATAACAACAACAACAACAGGGGTGGCAAAGGGGGATCTCACTGCCATCAAGAGAGAAGAGCCAAGGGTGGAGTGTGTCCTTGGACTCAAGATCCCTGCACTGAGATGGCAGAGAGACAGCAGCAACAGATGCAACAGAATTGAAAGACCAGCATGAGACTGAGTAGCGGGCTTCCCGGCCCATACAGTAAGAAAGCCTGAGTGCCGTCAGGCAGGAGGCTTGCTGGCAGAGTTCAGTGCCTCTTTGGGATCCTATCTGCAAAGCAAAAAGAGCTTTGTAACACTGGCTCAAGCAGGGCAGAAGCCAAAGCCAGAGAGAAGAGTGCCTGTGGCACAGCTAAGAAGCTGTCATGATTGAGAGAACTGTATCCTGAGTTGTTCCTGCTTCTGAATTTTAACCTGTTACTTCCCCATTAAACCCCTAATTGTGAGTATTGCCTTGAGTTGTGTGGCCATCATACAGAATTATCAAACCCAGAAGAGAAATACAGTGCGCAGTAGAAGGGATGGATGGTGTCAGAATTGGTAGAAAGGTTGGAGGGGGAGGGTGGTGGCATGTCTGATTTCTGCTTCATAGCAATCAGCCTTGGGCTGCTGATGTTGATGGTGATCTTTTCTCCCCCTTATGAAGCTGGAGGTCAGAAAACACCTCCTATACTCTTTCTGCACACAGCCAATAAAACACAAGTAAACATTTTCTGGTATTCCCTGCTTTCAGCCAAGATCCAATTGACATCAGCAATGACATTACTCATTCCATGTTCTCTTTGGAATCTGGCTTGATTTTCTGCAGTTCCTTGTTAATGTACTGCTGCAAAAATTTTTGAATTATCTTCAGCAAAATTTTACTTACATGTGATATTAATGATATTCAGTAATTTCTGTGTTCTGTTGGATAACATTTCTTTGCAATGGGCACCTGCAAGGATCTCTTCCAGTTGGCTGGTAAGATGAATGGCACAGATGAATAGGTGCTTCCCACATTGCATTTGTTTGTTGAAACATCTCAATTGGTATTCTGTCAATTCCTGAAGCCTTCTTCAGTGCAGCTTGGAGTTCTTCCTTCAATACCATCGATTTGTGATCATATGCTACTTCCTGTAATGGTTGAACAATGACCAATTCTTTTTGGTACAGTGACTCGGTATATTCTTTCCATCTTCTCTTGATGCTTCCTGAATCACTCAATATTTTTCCCACAGCATCCTTCAATACTGCAGCCTCAGGCTTGAATTTCTTCTTTAGTTCTTTCAGTTTGAGAAATACTTAGCATGTTCTTCTCTTTTGGTTTTCTAATTCCTAGTCTTTGCACATTTCATTATATTACTCTATATTCTCAAGTCACTCCTTTTAAGTTTTCTGTTCAGCTCTTTTACTTCATTTCTTCCATTGGTGTTAACACACATTGGTTTAAGAGCAAGTTTCAGAATCTCTTCTAAAATCCAATTTTTTTCCCCTTTCTTTCTCTCCTGTCATTTTAGTGACCTTTTACTTTCTTTATGTATGGTGTTCCTGATGTTTTCCCACAACTCATTTGGTCTTTGGGCATTAGTGTTCACTGCATCTATGCTTCAGATACCTCTAAATTATGATACAGTTATTTTCATGTTTATAACCATATTTTGCCCTGGAATACAGTATTAAGGGAAGGGAAAAAAAAAAAAGAACCTATTGCCACTTAGATAATTCTGACTTATAGTGACCCCACTGGGTTTCCAAGGCTATAAATCTTTATGGAAGAAGACTACCTCATTTTTCTTCTGCGAAATGGCTGATGGGTTCTAATCTAACTTTTAGTTAGCAGCCAAATGCCTTAACTACTACACTACGAGAGCTCCCTAGAATAATGTATAAAAGATAGGTAAATATGAAAAGAATCTCCAAAATCATCTAAGCAAAACCTGGATTTAAAAAAAAAAAAGGGAAAGAGGAGAAGGGAAAAAAATGGGTAGAACAATGGGAATACATATCAAACTACTTTTGTCTCTAAATGCGAGTTCCATGTGGGAGTAAATAATAGGCAGCTTCTTATTAGTGAGCTGTGAAACTCAAGTTATAGAGTATATCTTGTGGCTAATGAATATCAAGGATATGTGAGTGTCCCAATTTCGAGATTTTATTTCAGTACTGAATGAGATTTCAACAAAAAGTTATAGTTTTGATTTTATTCCCTTATGCTGTCTTAAATCCAAAGCTTATTTTTTCAAAAATTATGTTACTATAAGTAAGGCTCAAGAAACGATAGGTAATCATTTCTGGTTTTATCTGCAGTAGTGAGCAAACAAAGCAGTTAAAAACAAATTCAACTTTTATTTCCAAAGCCACAATACAGTAACATGGGTCTTACTCTTAATCCAACTAAAAAACAAGGGGGAGAAAGGATAGAAGCTGAAATTACTCTTGTGAACCACAATTTATTCACAGATGCTACCAGAGCAAATGAAAGGTAGATAAAGAAGGCAGACCACAGAACAGCCACTACCATTCCCTTCTTCCTATCTCTGGTCAAGGTAAAATGGCCAAAGAAGTTTTAAGAGTATACATCATCATATCGTCTAAATGGAATCAAAATCTAAATAAAGGAATTTGTATTATTTCAAATAAAAAAAAATCTTAAGTGTTGAACATTCTGCTCTTAATATCACTAGAACTATTTAATCAAAACCCCTATCCCTTGAAATACATGATTCTACTTCCATAGCCCTCTAAGTTATAAATTTAAATATCGTAAGTATTTGAGCTTAGTATTTTTACAAACAATAAATGGAAAGCAAAGGGGTGCTATGCAACAACGGGATTCTTCAAAAGTGCCAATGTAGTAGAATTGGAAAGGGTAAATACAATATAGGTATTTTTCCTTAATTAGTGTTAAATGCAATATGCAATATCCTTAATAACACAAGATGTTTTGATAGTCCTGATATTTGGGGGGAAAAAATGAGCTAAAACACTCTGGGGGTCAGTTTGGTAGAAGAAGCCATGAGGGTCCCTCCCATTAAAGTATGAGAGAGGCTACTAGGCTAAGAGTACATCAAGAACAACAGCAGGATGTAAGATTAGTGGAAGTTAACTGGATATAGATACTAGTCAATTCAGGGAGCTCGATTTCAAACAGATGGGATGGAGACGTTAATAAGGGGAGGAAAGAGGCATACGGGAAATACAGAAACAGAGGAAAAAGAAAGTGGTAACAGATCATCAGTTATCCTTCCACTTGTCATAGCTCCTGTACCATTTGAAGACCTTAATTCTTCTAATCTGAGGTCCACTTTAACTCATTTCTCAATGTTCCTTTACCCTTAGTGACCTGAGATTCCTATTTGTACCTAATCACTCCAGTCTCCTAATTGTTTCTTCTCCTGTGCATTTCTACCTTGTACTCTTGAGTTTTGTTTGACTAGTTCATTGATACTGATGATTGACATTCTATGAGATATAACATCACGGCAATTCAAACTTATCTATGAGTTCATTCAACAAAATATTTGAGTATCAACTAAGTGCTAACCACCATTATATGTTCTAGGAGTGAAAAGAACAAAGTCCTGCTCTTGCAGAGCTTAAAATCTATTAGCACTTGACTGCTAACGAGAAGGCTGGCAGTTCAAACCCACCAGCCACTCCTTGGAAGGAAGACTGGGCAATCTACTTCCGTAGGGATACTGCCTCAGAAACCCAAGGAAGGGTCGCTATGAGTCGGATTCAACTCAACAACGAGTGAGGGGGTGGGAGGCAATAACTAAGTAAAAAGAACAAACAGTGATAAATACAAAGAAGAAAAATAGTAGGGCAAGGTGACAGAATGCTATTTTACATAAAGTGGTCAGGGGAAGAACAGTCTGATATATGGTGAAATTCTGAACAGACACTTGGATCAAGTGAGGAAAAGAGCCATGCAGCTAGTCATCTCAGAGAAGAACATTTGGACAGAGGAAAACAGCCAAGTGCAAGCCAGTAAGAGAGATCACAGAAAACAAGATCAGAAAGGTAGCAAAGGGTGAGCTTACACAGGGCCTTATAGGCAATGGTAAGGATTTTGGATTTTACACAGGTGAACGGAAACCATTAGAAGATTTTGAGCAAAAAGAATGGCATAATATGACTTACATTTTAAAAGGATCACTCAGATGTTTGTAGAGAACAGACTGTAGCAGGGCAAGGATGGAAGTAAGATCAGTTAGAAGGATATTGACATAATCCAGTCAGAGATGATAGAGGACTAGACCAGAGTAGCAGAGGTAGAAATATAAAAAGCAGTCAGATACTGGATATATTTTGAAGATATATAAAGCCACCTGGATTTGCCAAAAGATTATTTGTCAAGTGAGAGACAAAGAGAAGAGTCAAGAATAACACTATATTTTTTGCCTCTAGTTAATGGAAGAGGAACTCTTATTAACGAAAGAATTTTAAAACTTCAAAAGAAACCCTCAAAGAATGTGGGAAAGCTACTCCATGAATAATACAGCTAAATACTGTCTTTTGTATTTAAAGGATAAATTTTCTTAAATGGAAAACTTGTTATCTTACTCAGATTTCTTCCTACTTAATAAAATAAAATCATAACTACAAAGCACACAAAATACAGAAACATATCCACAGAACTGTTTTGGAGAGGTAGATACGGTGATATTTGCTGCCATGAGGTTTTTAACCTACTTAATTTCATTATTAGCTTAATTCTCTTCAAAACAAATCTTACCAACTTGAAGTTAATCTTAATCATTTGTTTCAGTGCTTTAAATCCCCATTCTCCTTTTTCACCTTCAAGTTCCAAAACCTAAAAAAGGAAGAAATTTTCAGTCCAATGTAACACTAACATGCTATTTTCCAACGACATCAAATGAAATCTCCAGGTTTTGAATTAACTTTACATGATATGCCTGAAATACATTTCCGGGATGAAATCATTATGGATTCATTCCATCTAAGGAGCTCTGGTAGCATAGTGGCTAAGGCACTTGACAGCTAACCAGAAGGCTGGCGGTTCAAATCCACCAGTCATTCCTCGGAAGGAAGATGGGGCAATCTACTTCCGTAGTGATACTGCCTCGGAAACCCAAGGAGGGGTCGCTGTGAGTCAGGTCCGACTCGACGGCACATAACAACAACATCAACAACAACAACAAGGTATCCTTGTAAAATAAATTTTAAGAGACAGAATCAACTGGAAAAAAATACGAACCTTTTGGAAACTGCTTAATGCCGCTTTTGGGTCATCTTCTTTTAATGCTTTGGAATTATAGTATTGATTTTCCAAATCCACGTTTGGTTCAGAGTTACTATCTTCAGAGTATTCCTGTGGATTGAAAAGAAAAAGTAATCAAAATGAAAAAAACAAAAAGCAAAAAACAAAACCTCACACATTACATTGTAGAAAGTGAATGCTGTTAATATGGAGGGAGAAAAAAAGACATATGTATATACAAAACAAAATACTCTTGAATACATAGGTAAAATGCTACTGATATTTAACCACTGTTAAAAATCAAGTAGATAGAATGAAACAAACACAACAAACTCACTGCTGTCAAGTCAATTAGACTCACAGCGACGCTCCTTAGATTTCTGAGGAGGTATCTCTATGGAAGTAGATTGCCCAATCTTCCTTCTGAGGAGTAGCTGGTGGCCTTGAACCACCACCAGCCTTCTGGTTAGCAGTTAAATGCCTTAGGCACTATGTCATCAGAACTCCCAAGTAGAGAAAATAGAACCATTTAGTTCAGCCCAAAACTACAGCTCCTACAGGATCAACAGAAAATAATTCAAAAAACGAATACTGGCTTATGCCTCCTAATTCTGTAGTAGTTAACCGTCTGTTGGTCATGGAACTTGAGAAAAATCTAACTATTCATCTTTAGTTCTGTAATCTAATTTTCTCCCTAAATCTAAAGTTCATTACTCTAAAATGGCCTACATACCTGGGATGACAATCTACATATGATATAAAGGTTTACTGCTAATTTTTTCCTTCAAAAAATCATGTCCATGCATATATATAGCACACACACAAACTAACACATGAGGGCGTGGTGCGGTTTGATAAAACGTCTAACGTGCACCATTTGTATAAAAATATGGTAGTTATGTTAATAGGGACACGTCACATCTGCATTCCATATTACTCAACAGATGCTTAATTCTATTAATGTAACTTAATGAAAAGAAGTAAAACAAAATAAATAAAATTTATTTCATCACGTAAATTCAGTTCTTAGTGAAAAACAGTACTAGAACAATAAGGCAGAAAGGAAATAAGGAATAAAACAACTATTTTGTGGCATTGTATAAACCTGAGTTTAAAATAGTTCCAAGATATTCAGTCTAATTTTGGGGATTACAAAATACACACGGATTAGAATAACAAAAATTATTATTTTAAGAAGACACACGATAAAATTATTTCCTTCTCAGCTACCAGTCACTAAAAAGGGTAAGTTTACATCAAGTTAAGAACAATACCTGGAAGTAAAAAAAAGAAAAAACAAAAAGGTAAGAACGGTATTACATTTGTATTTCTATATCCAAATATAATTTAATAAATTTTTTTATAGAGAAATTTATGGAAATTCTATGAAGACTCTTAAGAATATGAGAATAAAGAACAGTATACAGACTGTAACAAGTGTTAGTTCAAAATCTGGTCACAGTTAACAACTGAAATAGTGGCTTTGTAATATGCACCCTCTGGAGGCCACTTATTTCCTTGTGTGAGGCAGGAAGGGTCTTGCTTTCAGACTAACATTTAAGATCAGAATTCAGTTAAGTTTAACACAAAATTCCCTGGAAACACTTCTCTTAGGTATGAGCTCAAACTCGAGGTAGTATATCAATTTCATAATCATTCAATCACTTCTTAACCCTTGTTACTACAGGTTCAAGTAGAATGAAACCGATCAAACTAAAAAGTAATTTATAAGTAATTGATAAGTCAACTGTACTCCAAATAACATTGTGATAGTGATAGCTTCCGAGTTGGGTTTTGAAAGATAAGTGGAAGTTCACCTACTAAATGAATGAACTCTTTGCGTACTTATATACAATCTCTAAAAGCACACCTAGGATGTAACTGAAGATTTGAAATCAATCATATTGTTGGAACATAAAAATCCCTACTGATTCTATTTCCAAAATAAATCTCCTACCCATCCACTTTCCCCCTTTCCTCTGCCACCACTCTAGCCCACCAAGACACTTTCATCTCTCTACAGACTGTAACAGCCTTCCCCTTCGCCTTTTTAACCTTCAAGTTCTGATCTTCTCATGGTGAGTAGTTAAAATAATCTTCATAAAATGCAAATTATCTCATTTCTCTTCTCAAAAAAATGGCTTCCCATTGCTCTTAAAATCAAGTTCAAAACCATCAAACTCTGACTCCTAACAATGTGTCCAACCTTCTGTCTCTCAAGCTCTCCCTCATTTGCTTTGTTGCAGCCCGCCTAGCCTCACCTGACAAATAACTACACTTCTTGCCCCATTCACACGTTACTGCCTTCTCTTCCCACCCTCCTACATCTGGTTAACTACTGCACAACATTTCAGATCTCAGCTTAAATGAAAAGCAAGTTTTCTAAGTGTCCTGTGGTAAAGAATCAGAGCTATAAAATCTACTCTGAATCTTTGAAAATCAGTCTTTTTCTGTCTTATTAGCTTGGAACAAACAAACATTTCCCTAACACTGTATCTAAAATTTGCCAGAAAATAAAAAATAAAATAATGAATTATGACTTAATGTTCATTTATTTTTCATTTCTTGGGCCACACAGATTAGAAGAAACAACTAAGCCAGGAAATGAGGATATGAGGCGAAGGAAGTAAAAGTTGAGAGGTACACATGACACTAGTAGGATGTGGAGCTGTTCCCAAAGGGGAAAGAGAAAATTATATTTGAGGAATTAAAGAAGTTAACCTCATTTTCAGGAAATTATAGAACCAATTATAACATTTTTGAAACCAAACTTTTACATTTTCTGCCATGTCTATCAGTGCCTTGTTACTTAAACAAGTACCTATTATAGTACAAAACTGACTACCTATTAACACTTGTGACCTTACTTGCTCCAGATTAACAGTATTTCTAAACTTTAGGTGTTCTAATTTTAAAAATCACAGTGATTGAGACAAGACTTAATCCACTGCTATATAAATGAGTAAAAAATAGCCTGTGTGTATTGGCTCCAGGTTGTTTACTTCTTCACAGCAAGCGAAGGCTCACTAATCCAAAAAAGCCTGCCAATGGCAAACTCCAATTTGTACACATCTAATTTTTTTTGAATTAAAAAAAAAAAAAAAAAGAGCCCAAATAAGCAGATTCTTAGCTACTTACTGCCTGCTTCACATACATACCCATGAAACCGTAGCCAACATCTGATAGCCATGTTGTTGCTATATGCCATCAAGTCGGACCCGACTCATAGCGACCCCTTCTTGGGTTTCCGAGGCAGTTTCTCTACGGAAGTAGATCGCTCCATCTTCCTTCTGAGGAATGGCTGGCAGGTTTGAACCACCAGCCTTCTGGTTAGCAGTCAAGTGCCTTAGCCACTATGCTACCAGAGCTCATGTTGTTGTTGTTGTTATGTGCCGTCGAGTC